TATCATTAATTCATAATACTTGATTAGGAGGTCAGCTGATCCGTCCATGTTTCAGTAGTAACGTCTCAGATTGTGAAGCTTGGTGACGCGAGTTCCAATCACACAGGAATCATTAATCCCTTCTAGATTGTAGGTACGTCTTTCTAACAAGTATCAGCTAGCATAAACCTAATCCTAGGGTTTCCTGTCAACAATCACCAACAACCTAATTGTACCTGATAAATCTGAAGGTTATCAAATGCAAAAATACGGTTTGCTACAGACCTTACAGAACTTTGAAATTTGCCAATAGAATACCTTGGCATTCAGTTTCGTATATAACCCATTCAACTCATATCTTAATGCATTTATATACTTAGTGCTGCATTTCACATTCAGAATATTATCTAAGATCCTTCCTAGGATCCTAACACATCTAAAAATTACATTTGGGTTCTTCAACCAAATAATAAAAATTTCATCTAAAATATATTATTTTTGTCGAAAACAGTAAAAGCAATGGTGATTTGTACAAATAAAGATAAAGTGAGTCCTTCAATTAAGTATATAAATATAAATTAATAATACAAATACAAAATATATCGGCGTTCAACAAGAAATAGATTGGATACCATTTCACACAGTTATGTAAAAAAAATTAAAAGTGACACGAATCATTATGAATAAACAATAAAAGTAGTAATAAGTGCCTTTAGAAGTGAAGAACGAACTAAATATTTGAAATAATACAAATATGAGCGATAGGCAGTTCTTTGAGATATGGATACTTTATAATATGCAAAATCCTAAAAATAGCTAAACATGCACAATCTACAGAATCTTGGACAGTAGTATAACTAGACATAAAAAATAAAAAGGGCGGGAAGAAATGAAAGAGCAGAATGGATCTGATGACAACAAATAAAGGAGATCAACCACTACATAACCAGTAACAACGGTTTATACATTAATTTACTTAATAAATTATGATTAATGCAAATTTTTAATGAAGGATTTTGAAAATATCTGGATATTAGTAGATACCAATTTGCAATCTAATAATTTAACATCAGTGTGAATGGGTGCTAGTAAACGTTATACGGTAATGATTATATTAAGTTAAAATGGTAGACAATAGGATTTTGATTCTGCCAAATCAAAGTTAACAAACACAAACAAACAATACTGTTAGAAATATAATTTGACCTAAACAGTTTTAGTTGAAATAGACTTAAAAATGGAACAATGAAATCGAAAGTAATTTGATGACCAGAGAGAAGAAAGAAGCCATACATACAATTTCTGAATGTAGAGATCAGGTTTATTTAGGTGGACTCATACCGATTCCACTATATGTGAGATTCAACTTCCCAAATCATAAAGTATATTAAATGCGGTTCGAATATTATTATCAATGCTACATTCATGTCGACTAAATGGACTGAGTCAACTGAATGTCGAGTTAGAGAGATTCTTATTATTCCTCTGTCGGCATTCACTCAAATGCGAAGCTTGATGTTCCAACATTCATGTTTACACATGAAACGTGTACTCATTCAATAAATTTTCTACATAATCTCAATCTCCTTACTCTACATAACTAATGGGTTGAGCGTTAAGAATAGTGAACTATTCACTGAATCAAACCAGGGAACATACATCACTTGATTTCAGTTGAGATTTTTCACACTCATCCAACCTGGAAACAACATAGTCGAAGTCTCACTATCATACACTACTCTATTTGTAATTGATCAATATCACGGAAACACACTGACGATACAACTCTCGAAACCGAAGTATCTCTGCAAAGTTGATTCGTTCTATTTTAGGACCCTCATTATAGTCCATGCACTGAACCACCAACGAATAAAACAAGCAACTAACGACAAAGCGACAATTTGATTTTTCCTGCGAAATTGTCAAGACAGTGTGTCGATTAGATGGGTAGTTAGCACAAATTTAAGTGAAATGCGCAACCACTTCCGAATGGATCTGTGGTGAAACATGACACGTCCAATGCTAGACTAGTTAGATTTATTATGAATCACTCTAAGATCAGTTGGAACGGTGAAAATATGCACAACCTGAACTGAGGTCACAATTAAGCATGAATAAATTACTAACACTGTAACATATTCATCACTGGTTGATTAGTGTTAGTTAATTGGTCGGTTGGAAATTGTTGGTTTGCAATGAACTATTCTTAATTTGTATGTCGCATTTGATTGTGTGTTTAGTTTATGTTCAGTAATCTCATCTTAATAAACGGAATACACCCATTAAGACATTAAATAAGAAAGATTAGTTCAGCGAAGAGTTCTCTTTTCGGCGAATTCATTTTCAAAGCTGTATAATCGCAAATATATACACTTATTTTTACAGAATGATAATAATACTGATAATAAACTTCAGTTAAACATGGTGACAGTGAGTTTAGATATACAAAGGTATTAAAAAGTTTTAAAACAAGGAAAGTTTAATAATCGTTTGATTGTTAATGGCTTAATTATTCATCAAAAGATAGATAGAGAAGTTATCATTGGGAAAGGATGGCTCAGCATGATAAAATAAAATGTTGAGATTGGGATGAAATGTAACCGGAATGATCATGGAAATAAAAACAAACCAGTTGGGAGTAGAAGATTTAAGGGGCAGATAGAAAGTGAAGCAGATGGTTGTAAAGGAACAAGAGAAAAATTTTAATACATTAAGACCATGGTAGACGAAGAGGTTGTATCAGTCTCTTTTGCACACACAATTCTGGTTTTTCCAGATGTATGGTTATTGCTTCGGCAATGCAAAGAAGAAGCAGTCTAATTGCCTTAGGAAGACTTCTACTTACCTCGTAGATGACTTTGAACGCAGAGTCTGTCTTGATTGAGTGACCTGTGTTCACAAGGTGTTCGATTATAGAACTTCTTACTAAGCCGTTGCTTCCTCTTTTTAGCCACGCCGGACAATGTTCTTGAATTCTTTTGGATAAAGTACGCATCGAACGACCTATATACCAAGCTCCACAAGAGCAGGTAAATTGATAAATGCACATTGGGTTGGTCAGATGAGATAATTTATCTTTCAGATTATTGGTGAACAATGATCGGCTGGAGAATAATATTCTCAATGTTGCTGCAAAGAATGTTCTTTTTAAGGAATCCGAAGTTCTCCTCTTTAAGATATATGTGTCTATACCACCTTCGAAGTCCGTGTTCATGTATAGAGTTTTCTTTTCTACTGTAATTATTTGCGTTTTTTGGTGTTCTCGGACTCATGTTCTCATTAATGAATATCGAAGGATAACCGTTTTTGATAAGTATCTCCTTTAAAAGGCCCAATTCTTCATCTACGACTTCGGGGCTACAGATTCTTCGTATTCTTGTACCGAGTGTTATTATCAAGTTTCTTTTTCGGCTGATGGGAACCCAACTGTGGAAACTTGATAGTTGATCATTCCACATTGGTTTCCTGTAGATAGATCTTTTTAAAGAACCGTCTTGTTTTCTTGTCATTTCCACATCACGTACATGAATATTTTGTTTGTTTTCAATTTCAAGTGTGAATTTTATTGATGGGTGACAATTATTAAATGTCTTTGTCACAAATGATAAAGATCTAACACGTACCTTTTATACAAGTGGAGGTTTTCTATAATTGTTTTGAGTTGGTTGTTTTCTAAACTGGCCATGAAACAATCTGCCAGTAATGAACCAAATGGGGATCCCATTGCTATACCATCCTTCTGTTTATAAATTACGTTGTTGAATGTGAACTGTACATTGCAAGTGCAACGTAGTAATAGTTCCTTTAAATAAGCATCCAACATTCCAATGTTTATCTCATTATTATTTATGTACATGCAGATAAAATTATTGTTCTCTGTGAGTGGAACATTAGTGAATAATGAATCGACATCCAGAGATAGTATAATTTTGTCACTTATATTCACTTCTTTTATTTGCTCGATAAATTCAAAAGTATCATGTACGGAATGTTTACAAATACGTTTTCTAACGGGTTCTAGGCGAATCGCCAGCCACTTTGTTATAGAGTGGTATAGGATCCTGATATACAGAGAATTGGTCTAAGCGGTAAGCCAGGTTTGTGTATTTTTGACAGGCCGTATAATCGCGTGTTATTGATGCTGTTGGTTTTATGCGCTCAAAGACCAGTTCGTCGATTAACTTCTCATGTTTCATTCTCTTAGGAACTTCGATCAGTTACTTTTCTATAATTTCAGTCTTGTTTTTATCAGTGGTTGGTTTAGAGCATTTGGTGTCATCTGATAATAACGTTGTCATTTTTTCAACATAAATCTTGCGATCAAGCAGCACTAAATCAGCACCTTTATCTGGATGTGTTATATTCAAGTCTTTATTATTTCTAAGTAGTTTTATTTGATTTTTATGTTCTTTCGTTAGAAGATATTTGCCTGTTACTTTAGTGCTAAGATATTGGTTGCAGCTATCGAGAAGAGTAGATTTGAAACGATATACAGCTTTAAAAATCAATACGTCAGAAAAAGAACTCTTCGCTGAACCAATCTCTCTTATTTAATCTCAACTTGGTCACATGCTTCAACACTCCTTTCCATATGTCCCAGGTTTGATTGTTCAATCAAACATCCACAGTCTTAATATTGCCAAAATATGTGATGCCTTTATTCTTCGTACAATATTTCGTCTTCACATAACATTCAATATTCAGCTAAGCATTAAATTTCATGATATGTTTACTCGGAATTCATGTATTGATTATTTAAGGCTACTACAACATCAACAATATTATGTTCAATGTGAATTACTGCATAGACAAAATAATGTGATTCGCATGTGTCCACCCTCCCAACCAATGCTTCAAAACATTCATAACAGTCGAGTGTGTGACAAACACACGTGAATTTAACCTTGTCCTACAATCCATCAATAGATAGACGGGATTGCCAAATCAACCTATTTAATATATTGATCGTTTCGAATCGATATGTATTTCTGCATGCAGTCTGTCACATTTGTGGTTGGAATTTTATTTCATGTGATGCATTTAGTCTTTCAGTATAACAGAGATTATATTTCTCAATACTGTCCTGCCAGAACAACACACAAATGCAAATTGTTTGTTCATGTGTTTCATAGAAAACAATGTGTGCTATTTCAAATAACAAATTTTATCTCGTGTCAATATGGTGGGTAGGTGGTTAGGTACACAACATCGCGCACCACCACCAACATCACCACCACTCCAGATTCACAAACTGTCAATCTAAGTGGCTAAACGTTTGCGAAAATTCAAAGTCTTCTCATCAGTAGTTTGTATGGATAATTGAGCTTGAAGTTTCTGCTACATATATATTAATGGTGTGAACATACAGACAAATTGCTGGTAAGATCTCTCGATAACTATCGAATTAAAACGGGCAAATGATTAGTAGTTGACAGAAAACCAAGGCGTAAATTAAATCTATGTCTTAGAATTCAATGTTTCATCGAGATGTTGTTCGAGAAATAAACGCATCGGAATGCATGAATATTTTGACGAGATCAAAATCACGAATGCTTGACTAACCAATCAGACATGAGACACGTTAAAATAAGCATGCAGACCAGTGATCAAATAGAGATACCAGACACAGGCAGGCAGACACAAGCAAGCACACACAACTAAGCAAACACAACTGACATGCCACACCACACACCAACAAGCATTACCTGACTGTCTACTAAATCATCATCAACTAGCCAACAACAGTCAACCAATAGTAATCGAGTGCATAGGATATACGGTTGGTGGTAGAAAATTCTCAACATGTCGCCTGTCTGTCTCACTCTCGTTCAAAGTCTTATTTTTCTTCAATTCACAACCACAAAACAGATTGCTTGATTATGATCAATACACCTCGAAAGTCAGCTTGTGCATCAAAACCACCACCAAAACCGTCGAAACAGATCACAGTCAAACGATACACAACTGAGGAGGCGAGTGAGTTAGCCGAATTGGTAGTGAGATATCGGGATGTTTGGAGAGACAAGAGCCATCCATCCGCACTTCTTCAGAAACATTTGTGGATGCAATTCGCACATTATCTACAGTCGAAGGGATGGCCGAGAAGAAACTGGACTCATCTGCGTCGGAAGGGCCTGTACATGTTGAGGAAACTCAATAACATGACAATCAGTCATTGGGAGGTGTCGAAAAGCAATCCCAACACCCCTGAAAATCCCTCGAACCACACGCCACTCTCCAGTTCCGATGCAAATCGACACGTGAACGTGAACGGACAAAGTGATTCGGTAAGTTCGCCTTGCCCAATGACGTGCTAATTGTTTTCATCGAATTCAGGTGACCGAGAACCAGTTGAGTGTGCATCGACCCAACTTGCCTACACTCACCCCCTCACCTGTGGTAACCATCACCTCCAATCTTCCCACATCGACACTCAGTCCTCCTACAAACCACGTGCAACCGAATCCCCCACACACAACCGGTCCAAAAATCCTGAACGCATTCTCAACAGCTCATATGTCCCAACAACTGACGATTGCACATGATGCTGAAGTGCTGCAGCCAACCAACAACAACAACAACACGGTTGGTGAGGTGGCGATTAACCGAGTCGCGTTACTGACTCCTCTCCAATTTGTCTCGTTCGGAGTCGCGAAAACCCACACTGCAGACGTATCTCCTGTTCGAGAAGTGAATATCTCGAACTCACCATCCAACCAACCGAGTCGCATTCCTCTGACTGCAACAATTGATTTATCAACGTCGAGTGAGGACGAGGAGATCTGTCCAGAGTTGAGTGGAACGCGATATCAGACGAACACGAATCACGCGAATGACTTGGGTGAAAAGTCCAAGGATTGTATCACGTAAGTAGGACACCTATTTTCAACTGACACGTTTCACCTTATATATATTATTCCTGTTGTTGTTTGTTGTTTGACTCTCACCACTAGCACAACATATCCCTGGTTAGCTGACTGACCGCTCCACACTGCTTGCTGTGTGATCAAGAGAATGTGCATTTATTTTATGACTATGGTTGTCACTGTAGCTCTGTGAGAACGAGACTTAGCAGTAGGATTTGATTCACACAAGCAGTGAGTGAAGCACACAACGAGGTAGATGGATAGATAGACAAATGAATAGACATTCGGACAAATAAGCAGTACACTGTTTGCTTACGTCCAATGGTGTTCTATCTCACTGAAGTGTTTTCGTCCCACGTTGTGCGTCACTGAATATCTTGATCATTGTCTTTATAATTGGGGTGTGCATGCTTACTGAAGATGAGTGTATCGAGTGAAAATTCCTATTTAGTTGTGTTTGTCAGTTGTCTACATAGTGTAGTACATTTGATGATTAGGATATATGCGACGACTTTTATGTATATATATATATATATATATATATATATATATATATATATATATATATATATATATATATATATATATATATATATCAGTATATGTATTTATATATTTATCATCTATCCTACATCGGTCTGGTGATAATAAGCACATGTTCAAACTGTGACTGGTTTTTGTAGATCCGAATGTGACAGAACCCCATTGTCAGAGATGTTGATTCACAAGCAAATGAAATGCCTAGATCTGAAGATTGAAATTCTCCAGATGAAGAAGCAATATTGGTCGGACAAACTGAAATTATCATCGAAAAGCTGAATGTTTGGTGAAAGCCAATCTATACATGAACTACCACTGTGATTGTCATCAATTCTATTCGCATATGAATAGTAGACATTTGTAAATTCGATTTATACACATGTATGTATACGTATTCTGACTGACGAAGATTGTTCTTCCTTTTCATCATTATTGTCTATTTGTATGGTGCGTGTATGTGTGTGTGCGTGTGAAGTTGTTTGCCAGTCAGTTCTTTTGTTTTGAATCCATTTGAAGTGGACTTTTGTTCAATACTGCTCTGTTTCAAATGTTGAGCACTGTAATGACTACTGTGTTGCATACTGTACATAATTAAATTTCAATGTTGGTTTTGTAAAAATCTTATTTTGTCTTTGAATTTATGGACGTCATCGACAATTGGTTGTGTGGATGACGGATGATACTTGACTTAGAATACACATGTGTTAGACCTTTGTCAATTTTATTTATTATCATGATGAATTGGTTTGATTTATATTTATTCTAGTGATTTCTCTGTAATTAACTGCTTGATATTTCATTCATGATACATATTCGATATATGAGTACAGTTGATGTCAACTTCCAATACTTGATGACCACATGTGACGGAGATTGGAGAGAATAAATGGTCTCATTTGAATAATAATAATAATAATAATAATAATAATAATAATAATAATAATAATAATAATAATAATAATAATAATAATAATAATAATAATAATAATAATAATAATGTTGATGATCGTTAAAAATAAATTTATTTTTGTTATATCTCAATAAATAGAATTATTGTATTTCCGACGTTATATGATATTTTGTAAATCATTTGTTTACAGTAAATACATAACCGACATTATCGTAACTTCTATGAATTCGGTGTTCATCATGTTGTGTTAATGAGGTATGGCAACTTGGATCGATGCATATATGTGCGAGGTGCTACATTGTAGCTGACTGCCTGAAGTGTTAATAGTATTACTGAACACAGTCTCCAGCTATAGAATGACTTATCTTGAAACTGATCAACTACCACAAGTACACATTGGTCAGTAGCCACTGCAACATTCCCTACTTGTTTTGTCATACAGAGCATAACACTAAATTCTGATTAATCTATAAAACATAGTTTGTAAAGGCCAGTATTTAATAATCACTAAGGAAAATCTCGAAATTGCAGAAAACCGTACAATGTTCCGAACTCCAAACCGACCGACACAAAAAACATTTCAGGAAACTTCTCAGACGGCACGTGTCGACGGCAACCGCAGCCGATAAACACAGCCTTCTTTTATACATCACTAATGTGATTATGAAAATTCGCTATGTCGTCGACATCGGCACACAAGTTAGCGTTCTTCCAGCAATTTCCAATGACTGACTACAATTTAGAATCTGATAAGTCTATAAAACATAGTTTGTAAAGGCCAGTATTTCACAAATTATTACATTTCACAAATCCATTCAATTTGTACACTTTAAATCATGTGACACAATGAATAAGGCGTACTTCATTTTCCAAAAGAAAAAATTCATTTTCAAAAAGATTAAAAGACTAATCACCAAATGCCAGCAAATTCGATCGATAAATGAGTAAATGTGGTTGAAGTGGTTACCGTATTTTTTGAAGGGAGGACTGAAATCTTCATTTGCTTTCAGTTCTGTTTATTCTCTCAGTGCTTCCCCTTTTCGAGTAGCATCAGTTTCCGCTGATAAATCAAATAAGTCGGTGTGGTGAACATATTTGTTTATTTTTTCTACGTTCATATGATTGATGGGATTCCTAGAGCGTAGTTCATACAAATGTACTAATAAAAGTGAGCTATGGTATCGATTAGTCGGTGTACGAATTATTAGAAACTAAAGGTCAACTCCATCATGTTATTAATCAAGTAGGTACAATGAAGGTCATTGTAAATCAAAATAATATTTGAGTAAATAGTTATTATAGACTTAAATAAGATATGTGTCTGTGAATTTGTAGCACATATGTTCTCATTATTCAATATTTGTACAGTGCCAATCACTCTCAGGCATCGTTCCGTCCATATTTTGGACAAGTGCTGCATTAAAGAGCACAATTTCCACTGAAGACTGTACACTGTATTCACACAAACTGGAGGCGGTATATTATGATGAGCGGGTGAATGCCACCTCAAGTCAATCCGACGAAATTTGTACTGAACATGAATCACACTGAATTAACAATGCGATCGCACGTTTTTATCTCGTCTTAACGAATATGATTCCTGATCTTTAGAAATGACTTTTTTTCTTATGGAAAATAAAGTACTCCTTATTCATTGTGAACTCCACCTGTAGCTCTGCTAGAGTTACTGCCGGTCCCAAGCCCGGGTAAAGGAGGAGGGTTGGGCATGGGGTTAGCGTCCTCATCCCGTAGAAAACTGTTATGATTTTATTGTCCGGCTTACGATCACGTGACTTATCCACCAATCAGAATACGGCGTATACAAATATTCGCACTATGACAAGACCAATGACGTTCAACCGGTCTGAGCAGTTTAGCGTCTTTATTGGGTCCTATGTCCTTCTAACCCGTCCGCTTGAGTCCAGAATGTAAATAACAGCTTCCGTAATATGAATCGAATCATTTATTTCAGACATACTCGGTTTATATATCAACCAGGCAGACCACAACGTACCATAAAATAGAAAATAACATGTGTACACAAATAAGCCAAAAAGTGGCTATGAACGCGGGAGACAGTAATTAATAAACTGAGCATAATTTAGGGACAGTAAATCGTACAATGAGAAATTATAGTTCAAAGTGAAGCTTATAACAAGAGGAACATAAATATACATAATCTAACTATTGAATAGTTATAACGTAAGAATATATAGAGAATATTAGTCAACTAATGTCTCAGAAGCTACTCGTGATTTAATCTTCGCTCGGATATAACAAAAACTAACTCGCTAAAAATGCGCTAACCAAATAACTCAAACCGTTTAAACTCTGACCTTGGAGTTAGAGGTAATATGACGCTTCATGGTGAAAGCCGAGTTCCTTCGGAAGCCACGAGGCCGATGCCCCTCCTAACAACCAGAGCAACAATTTTTATAGGTACATGGAACTTCCGGACAATGTGGGAGACCAGAAAGACCAGTCAAATAGCAACGGAAATGAGGAGATATAACTTGGCAGTACTGGGAATCAGTGAAACCCATTGGACCTAAGCTGGACAACAAAGGCTAAATACGGGAGAGATGCTGCTATACTCCGGTCACGAACAGGAAAATGCTCCACACACTCAGGGAATTGCTCTAATGCTGTCCAATGTAGCACAAAATGCACTTGTAGGATGGGAATCTCACGGATCCAGAACCATCAAAGCATCATTCAAAACAACGAAGGAGGGGATCTTAACGAATATTATGCAATGTTATGCACCCACCAATGATAGCAACCACGACATTAAAGATCGATTCTATGAGAGGCTGCAATCAGTCATAGAGAAGTTCCCAAGAAAGGACCTCACCATTCTGATGGGAGATCTAAACGCCAAATTTGGAACAGACAACACCGGATATGAAGATATCATGGGACTACATTGACTGGGAGAGAGAAACGAGAACGGGGAAAGATTTGAAAATCTGTGTGCATTCAACAAATTGGCCATAGGCGGCACAATATTTCCACACAAACGTATGCACAAAGCTACATGGATCTCACCGGACCACACCACAGAGAATCAGATAGATCATATTTGCATCAACAAAAAGTCCCGAAGGACAATGGAAGATGTGAGAACCAGGAGAGGAGCGGACATAGTTTCAGCTCACCACCTGGTTGTGGCCAATTTAAAACTGAAGCTAAAGAAGAACTGGACAACTGGACAAACAGCACCAC